CCGAACCCTCGGGCGGGAGCGCCGCCACACTTCCCAAGCGGCTCACTATCCAGTGCGCCACTGGGCCGGCCCTCATTGCTATCTTAACAGCTGCAGGTTCTTTATTTTTTAAATGGTAAGAATGGGAAAATGATTTAGGTATTAGAGAGTTTCTGCCTAAAATTTAATAAAACAAAAAGTGAAGAAACCAGAATTGACTTAAAAGTTATCATTTTAAAGGAACTCTTTTGGTAGTAATTTCATTAATCTGAGAATGTTCTCGTTCATTCCTGGAATATATTTTTTTGAGATATGGAATTTTGGATTGACAATGCTTTTCTTTCTGCACTCTAAAATGTTCTACTGCTTCTGCCCTCCATGGTTTCTGATGAGAAATTCAGTCATTTGAATCATTGTTTTCCTAATTGGAATGTATTATTCCTTGGCTTTTTTGAAGTTTTTGTTTTGTTTTGTTTTTAGTTTTGAATAGTTTGTAGTATAACTGGGTGTGGATTTCTTTGAATTTAACTTGTCTGAGATTCATTGATCTTAAAATTATAATACCTGTCTTTTACCGTATTTGGGAGGTTTTCTGCCATTTCTTCAAATATGTTTTTTCTACATTATGCGCTTCTCTCCTTTTGTGACTCTGATGACATGTGTACTAGTTCATTTCTGTTACTTATAACAAAATACTTGGAACTGGGTGATTTATAAGAAAAATGAAATTTATTGCTTACAGTTTCAGAGGCTGGGAAATCCACAGTCCAGGGAACACATTTGGTGAAGGCCTTGCTGGTGGTGACAGTGACTCAGGGATCTCAAATGGCAAAAAATGGCGGAGCAGAGAAAGACTAAACTCTTGTGTGCTCTTCTTTTAAAGTGCTCAGAATCATGCCTGTGACCACCATCATTAACCCATTTACCATGGCAGGGTCCTACAATCTGATCACCTCTTCAGACCCCCACCTTTCAATTACTGTAATAGGGTTTCCCACCTTCAACAGTTACAGTGGGGATTAAATTTTGGGAGGACATTCAACCCAAGGCAATATGAATGTTAGAGCTTTGATATAGTGTTCCATTGGCTTTGTTCATTTATTTTTTCTGTATTTTTTCTCTGTAGTCATCAGATGGGATAATTTCTATTGCTTTATCTTCAAGTTCACTGACTCTTTCCTCTGTTATCTCTAGAGATTCTGCTTTTGAGTCATATCAGGAAACTTCAGTTTTTATTTTACTTTTTTAGTTCTAAAATTTTATTTTGTGTCATATATAAATATAAATATATGACGTCAAATAAAACATGTGTGAAACAAATATGTATATGTATCTACTGAGACTCTGTTGCCTGTTTGTTTCAAGAATATTCACCCTGACTTCTTGAAGCATAGTTGTAATAGCTGATAATTCCAACATCTGTGTCATCTTGGGTTTCTAGTGTATAGCTTGTCTTTCCCTTGTGAATTAATGAGATTTTCCTGGATTTTTTATATGTCAAGTGATTTTGGATTATATATTAAGTATTTGATGCTATGTTATGATGGTCTGTCTTGTTTAAATTCTATGGAAAATGTTGATTTTTGTTGTTGTGGAGGGGGATTTTTTTTAATATAATGGGCATTTGACTTTGCTAGATTCTAAGTTTCTACTCACCTTCTGTGCACTCTAATTCCTATGTCTAGTTTTCATAGCCTTTGCAGAGCTGTTTGGTTCTGTCCTGTGTGTGCGCCACGTAGTAGCTGGTTTGGGAACTGGGTATTGGTCTGTCTGGAGAGTGTGTTGTTTAGATTCACATATGTGTACCAGTGGGTGACTTTAGAAATGTTTATAGAACTTCATGGTATCACTTCTTGAGCTCTTTTCTCTTTGCAAGTTCCCTGACATTTTTTGGCTCTTAGAGACCTTTATTTATTGTCCTCTGGCTAGAAAACTGAGGTTTTTATTTCTCTGTTTTGCTGCAAACTTCTTTCTGCAGCTGGGTCTTTCCAGGTTTTTAGTGGCATTCAGAGGAAGAGATAGTATGGACTGTGCTTACTCCATCTTTTCCAGAACAGAACGCAGATATCATTTTAATTTCATTACAGCTGTATTATTCACTTGTTTTAGTCAAGAATTTATTGTGCATCCATGCTGAACCACGCTTTGCTGGAAATGTAAAAATGGATGGTCTTAAGGTGCCTGCAATAAGTCACAGATAGGGATGGGATGGGTGGAGGCAAAGAGTAAACAATTTTATATTCACTAATGATGAATAATTGAGTTATTAATCTTAGCCTTTTTGATCCATTTCTGCTTTAGGGTTTGACTTATTGTTCGTGACTTAGGGAGAGAAGATCCAATTTATATTCAGTTAACTTTCTACTTATCCCAAAATAAAAGGAATGAAAATTCTCTGGATATGTATATGCTGAATATAATTATTAAGATATAATTATAATAAGGAAAATAATTACATATATAGTTATAATAAGAATAAGAATGTAAGAGTAATTTATTATTATGTACTTGTTTCTCAGGTCTTAGAAAAATACCCCAATACACCCATGAGTCATAAAGAAATTCTTCAAGTTATCCAGAGAGAAGGACTAAAAGAAATCAGGTGAGTTATTTAAATATTATTAGTAATAATAATACTTGATTAGAGTATTTGGTAGTATATAGTAGTGTACTTCAGTCCTGAAGTTTGATTATTTAGTAATAAGTGCTTTGTTAATTTCTGGTTTATTCAGCTGTCAGATCTTTGAAGTTTTTAACTCATAGCACAGTTATAAAACAAAAAGTAAGTTAAACAAATTCTTAGTGAGAAAGGAGGCAGCTATCTCCAAGCTTGTGTGGTTTAATTCTTAGGGAGGCCTGGAGCCATCTTCAAGCCTTCATCTATCACTTTAGGCTTTTGATTTAATAAACTTAGTCATTAGCAGATAAAATTAGTCTAGTATGGGTGAATGCTAGAGGTAGACAGTCTAGGAAGAAATAACATTGACCAAAAAGGAATAAAATGAGAAAGACATATAAAACAGTATATATGTCAAATAATAGTCTTATTATATTCAAATATAATACACTGGGGTTAATTAATACAGGATCAAAGATAACACACACTTTAATTTCTAAGATCCTTGTATTACATTAGCACATAATAGTCAATATTCATAACTAAGAACCTCTGTCATCAAGAAATGTTAAAATTATGTTATGTATGCTTTGTATATTATGACAGAAATTTGGGAGTCTACATAAGAGAGAGAGATTCATTAAGACAGGAAAAGTTTGTGGTGCTTTCAAACTGCTACTAGTGGTTTTCAACTATGGGTGGTGTTGTATAACACCCTTAGGGAAAGAATTTGGAATTTTGGGGGGCCATTTTTGATTGTTACAGTGTCTGGGGGGGGTGTACAATGGCATGTAGTGGGAAGGTAACAGAGATGCTAAATGTCTTGCATTGTACTGAACACATTGAATAGTTGTTTGACTCAGATGCCAGTAGTGTTCCCATTGAGAATCTGAACTATGCTCGAATATTTGTAAGTGACAACAATATATTTCTTGATAAGTTGACATTGCGTGTTCTAGATTTTAATTCTCATTTTCTTATCTTTAACATGAAATTCTATGATTTTTTTTATTAGCTCCTTTTTTTTTCTTTTTTTTTTTTTTTTTTTTTTTTTTTGTCTTTTGTCTTTTGTCTTTTTTCCGTGTCCGGCAACGGATCGCAACCCTCAGTGTTGCCCCCGTACCGGACCGGGGACCGGCAACGGGATCGCAAGCCTCGGTGTTGCTCCCGCGCCTCGCTCAGCCAGTGAGCGGGAGCCGGTCTGTATGTGGGATCCGAACCCTCGGACGGGAGCGCCGCCGCGCTTCCCAAGCGGCGCACTATCCATTGCGCCACCGGGCCGGCCCTTATTAGCTCTTTTCTAAAGCAGTTTAAAACTTTTTGTTTTGGTTTGTAGCCAAACCACAGTGGGAATAAATTAGGTTTGCTTCATTGATATGAAAAAGTGAAATATAGATCAGTATATCTCACTTTATATAACATGTCCCTGAAAAATTGAGTGTAAACATTTGTAAATTAAAACATTAGAATGTAATGTTGGCCACTTAACTCAGTTGGTTAGAGCATGGTGCTGAGAACAACGAAGTCCAGGGTTTGATCTCTGTATTGGCCAGCCGCCAGTCAGTCAATCAAACAGTAAAACATTAAAATGCATTTGAAGAATTAACATTTTAAAGTATCTTTTGTAAATTATTAAAGAAATTAATTACCCTTAATTTGTTGATGATATAATTCTAAATTTTCATGTGACTTATATTTTTTAGATTAGGGTTAATTAAAGCACAGTATCCATTTAATCACAGATTAATTTGTACAAAACTTACAGGAGAGAGCTGTTTCCCATTTCAGTCTTTGTACATGCTGACCCCTTAGCAGGGAATATGCTTTCCTCAGCAAGGAATGTGTACATGCTGACCCCTTAAGAAGGAATGTGTTATTTGACAATAAACTCTTTCTGGTCTGTTTGAATATCTCCTTTTCAGAGAATTTTGGCTGTCTTTCCAATCTAGATCACATCTTCCTATTTTTAGTTTTTTATAATTTTTTGTGTTCTTTCTTCATAGCACTAAGGTTTGAAATTATATATTTTTGCAGTTAAAAAAATTATACATCTTCTCTATACCTTATGTGAAGCTAGTTCCAAGAGAGTAGTGACGTTATCTGTTGCTTCTCCCGCAATGTGTGGTGACACTGAAAATTTACTTGTTAGTGAATATATGAAGTATCTGTGGTTGGAACATCATATTCAAATGTAGTTATAGCTATTCTCTTGCTGCACTGAAGTGTCAAATGGTAGTCTTATCATCTTTAAAGTTTTTAGAAAGATTACAGGATGAAACACATACTATACTTATTGATGGTATGCCACTTCATATTGTTTTATTTTCAGTCCTCAGACTTCAGAACATAATTTTCAACTCTTCTCCTTTTGTATTTCCCCCTCAGCTTCCACATTTTGAAGAATCTTGCTTAATTTTTATTATTCTATACTATATTTTTTCTCTAAAAATTTTTTAACATGGAAACAACCCAATGGCTAAACAAAGTGTGATATATACATATAATTAAGTCTTAAGACGATATGAAATTCTGATACATGCTACAACATGGATGAACCTTGAAAACTTTATGCTAAGTAAAATAAGCCAGGCCCAAAAGGACAAATATTGTATAAATCCACTTGTTTGAGATACCAAGAATAGGTAAATTCATAGAGACAGAAAGTAGAATGAAGTTACCAGAGACTTGAGTGGGATGGAATAGGGAATAAATGTTTAATGGGTACAGAGTTTCTGTTTGAGATGATGAAGAAGTTCTGGAGATGGACGATGGTGATAGTTGCACAGCATTGCGAATGTATTTAATGCCATTGAATTGAACACTTAAAAATTGTGAAAGGTTAAATTTTATGTTATGTAGGTTTCACCACAAACAACCAACAAAGTATTAAAAAAGAAGTGGTTGGCTCCTGGCTGAGAAAGATTCAGGTACTAGTTTGTTTGAGAAGTTAGGTTGTAAGATTGCAATTCATTTACCCAATGTTTGGAATTCTGAATGAATTAATTAGAAACATGTTTTTTTTTTTTTTAAAGTATTACAGCGTTTAAATTAATTGCCTGTTTATAAAGCATAGCAACATTCTGGAAAATATAGGGAGGAAAAGTCCTCAAATTTTTACTCTCACACTTATCAGTGACTTTGTGTATTCTATTATGTTCTTTTCATAACTTAATGCATCACTTTTAAAGATAGTTTAAAGTTTCTCATAGAAGTCAAAGGAAAAAAGAAGATACAGATTTTGATATTTCAGGTGAAATGGGACATGACTTAGGCCAGGGGAGACTAAGGATCTTTTCTAGTGTACTTAGTAGTCATAGTGAATAGCAGAGGCATTCTGGAGTTTTCTTAAACTGTTTGTAACAGATAAAACAATTTGTTTGGAACAGATAAAACAAGAATACACGGAAAGTTAATGATAATGTAGGTAGATGCTCTAAATGTAGTACTTGGTCATTTGCAAATAAAGAGAAAAGTTAATTTCTGTGCTGTTTACCAGGAAACAGTTATTGCATAAAATTAAAAACAGTTTAGAAAAATTTGTTATGACATCTTACCTGCTTCTGCAGTTTTCTGTGGTTAAAATGTAGCCTAATTGTTCTGTCTCTTAATATAAATACCAGAGATATCGTGGCAATTGTTTATTAGGGTTGAACTCTTCATTACAGAATTGCTTGTTCCAAATTTGTACTTTTAGAACCTTTAAAAAAATTCTTTAAGCTTTTACTCATTTGTTTTTAATCTAGACAATCCTTTTTAAAAATCAGTATTACTCACTGGGTAGAGATTTTGTTTATTGCGTTTGCTTGGTTAAAGAACCCCCATTCAAATAAGTCATGTATTGATCCTAGATCATTCTCTGCAATTGTGTGAATTTATATAAATTTTTAAGGAATGGTTAGCTATTGTTGTTTCCTTCCCAAGACACTAGAAATGAAATCAAGGCTTCAGAGAGATGTGCCTTACTTGTGTACATTTGACTGTTTACTTTAGTTCCTTCCTAAGGGAAACTATTCAGGGTTTTATTTTACCTTGAATCAATGTAACATTCATGGCAAATGGATGTCAGCCATCAGTAGTAAAATAGCCTTTTAAAAACTTCGATACTTCCTTTTTGTCTGAGGATGCAGATTTTACAGTTTGCAGGGAAACTAACTCAGAGCAACTAGTGCCCCATTTTGCTTTTAGTTTCTCCTGGCTTGAGTCCATACTTCTTGTCATTACAAACTATGCCTTTGGTCATCAAGTGTCAGAAGCAATTCAAACCGTAGCCTCCAAAATACACTCACATAGCTACTCCCACTTAGCTTCATGGAGCTCTTTCTAGGCTTTTGGGCATTATTATCATTTTTAAAAATCTTTTAAAGTTGAGTTTATTTAGATGTTCTCTGTAGTCTCTGAGCTATACAATTCTGTAGTTCATAGGGTTCAATCAGGAGACAGAAACTACACGGTAATTTGAACAGGGACGTTACTAACAAGTTATTAACTGGAAGTTATTAACAGGTTAATCAGAAATTAACTATTCAAAGGTAAAGAGAACACAAAAGAATACAGTAATAGCAGATATAGGGAACAACCACTACCTCTACGGCTGGGTCAGTGTACCCCAGGAAGGAGCAACTTTTAAGGAGGTCTCCCCATCCTCAGGTTTCAATTCAGATCTCTCCCAGGAGAAAGTGGGACTATGGCTCAGTGGATGAAAAAATTCATCGGTGCTGTAATCATAAGTGGCCATAGGAAACTGTCTACTGGGTACTAGAAGAACCTCCTAGAAAGCTTCCTGCTGGAGTACCTGTCTCAGTTGCTGGGCAGCCAACTGAGGCACAAGCAGAATTTTCTGGAAGCCACCCACAGGTTTTCTGCTGAACCTTGTTGAAGGATTGGGTGCCATTGAGTGGCTCTCATGCTGCTGGCTGCTGTGTGCCACAGGAGCAAGCAGGCAAGAGCACACTGAAACCAGGAAAAAAGCCCCTTCTTTCTGCAGT